TACGTCTGAAAATTCTTCACAGAGTTTCAGTATAGCATTTTTTTTCTCCTTGTTCATGTGGTCTGTACGTATCAAGTCAGCGATATTAATTTCCGTTGCCAATTTGAGTGAGGCCGTCCCTGTATTTTCGAAAGTTTCGTAAGAATACATTTCAATGGTAGAGGATTGAAAGCTTCCTACAGGAAGCGGTTGTATCAATTTCACTGATATTGTTCTATCGGTGGCGTTTTGTACTTCCATAAGGGCGTAACCATTTTTTGAAGTTGTCAATATCTGCAGAATGAAAAGATTACTAAGTGTTCCTTCAAGGATAAGAATTTCACCTTCAGGAACTGTAACAGGCAGATATTTAAGTACTCTTTCTTGTGGGTTGACAGAGAAAGAAAAACTTGTAACTGTAGACTGTCTGAATTTGAAAGAAATTTCAACATGATTTCCTATCAGTCTCTTATTTACAAGATCTATATTCAGGTGCATGTTTATTTAGTCTGATAATCCTAAAAATCCGTTAAAGTAATCGTGGAAAGCAAATAACATGAAAGTAATTTCATAGTTTTTGTTGAACTCTGGAAAAGCATGTATCCGGGCATGGTACCTTACTTTCTGACTTCCTGAAGCCGTTTTGATAATAGTACTTGAATGATAAATTTTGTTTGGAAATAATTTTTCAATAATAGATGGTTTAATAATCGATCTTGAACTTCCAGTATCGATTAGTAGTTTAATAGTTTTATTTTTATGACTAACTTCACCATAAGGTAATGCATTGTTACAAAATACATTGATTTCGGCTAAGTATGATTTTCGTATTGGGTTGTTGAATGAAAATTTCCAATTTCATCACAATCTATGTCGCTCAAGTATTCATTCTGAAAATTTGGTTCCTTTTCTGAATAAACAGCATTTTCTGAAGAGTATGCTACTTCACTGAGGCTGGGATTGTCATACAATTGTTGATCCGTGTCATTATATTGGGGAAATTCATCGTATTCGTTAGAAAATAATTCCTCAGATATAAAATTCGGTTTTTGACTCGTGCTAAACATTTTTTGACGGTTTCGGTATTATTATTAGAGTTCTTAAAAGTGCTGTTTTGTTGANACAAACTAGAGACGACTGTCTCTTATGAGAGCTACAAACAGAATAATAATTAATATAATGTTGACTGGATACTAACTGCGTGTCGAGATAAGGGATTCCTGGAATATCTCTCACTCAGCTGAATCATCCCCGTGTGAATCGCCGTGTCATGGGAACTATGACCACGTAACTCGCATTACAGTACAATAAGATAGCGTATGAAACTCATGCATTCGTAAATAGACGCATTCACTATTTTCTTGAGCCAAAAATCATCCATACGATACTCTTTTACACGATAAACAAGTTTCATATAGTTATAAAACTATTTTCCGCAATTATTGACCTCGGCCTGCAGGTTTTAATGACAAACGTTTCGTCTGCGGTAGAAATCACAGGCGATGATGAAACTCTTTAGTTATCGTCACACTATCTGTATCAGTTTCGCACTCCAGTTTAATTGGATTATTAGAGGGCGTGAATCAGTTGAATTGAATGGAGTGATGCGTGTGTAATTGAGTGCAGGTAGCCATATTTCATTTATATTGATTTCTTTTTTCATTAGGTTCAATTTGTTTTTATAAATTTCTATCGCCTCCCTATATAATCTTATATGGTTATAGGAAGTGGGACCTTTTTGAAGCTCCTGACAAATGTTTCACAACCCTAGGATATAATGTCAATATCTTCAACCACTACAATATGGCGGAACTTTTAATAATTGCCTGAAAACATTGATATTTAACTACATAATATGAGGTAATATGCTTGAGGTCAGTTCAGAAGATGCTCGAAATGGTTGCCTTGAACAGCCTATCCGATATTTCACGCTGAACATTTTCGAACACAGTAACGTCAATATCACTATGAATATTTATTATTCTGTAGAAACTCAACGGCCAATTAAACGATCAGGAAAAGTAGTATCCAAATAGTTTTTTAGTTGTCTGGAGTAATGTGGTGATACTCCATCTTGTTGGAATACATTATCCATATCGAATTCATTAGGATTCGCTTCGAAGATTTCAGTGATGAGAGAGTCAATAGTAGCTTCCAGCATATTGAAATACAGTTCCCCTGTTGAATCTTGATCAATAAATAGTCCTACAATATGGTTTCCCAATATTCTTGCCCAAACGATAATTTTTTCTGGTGTCACTCCAATAACGGCAATTTTGTCTGTCAACATTGCCGTTTAGAAAAATGTACATTCGTCGCTAAAACAAATATTGTGGAGATAGACAGGATGCCTTGCAATGGTTTCCATCATGATTTCGCAAAATTCTGTGCTTCGATCAGGGTCATCTTCAGTTAATTGGTGTACCATTTTAAAATTTCAATTCTTTGACTTGACCCGTTCAAAAAATAAAAGGAGGGGGGGCATTAAATAAATGCACTGTATAATATCTCTAAAATATATCGAGCACTCAAATGCCTTCAAACTCGATCACATGGGTAACTTCTTCAGGTGCATGTTCCGTATGTCGGTATGCTCTAGGTGATAATTCCTTTTTTGTGCAATGATCAGTGTAATAACACATTTTTTCGTTACTCCATTGTATACCGATCCACAGCTGTACCGGAACCCTTGTAGTTGCAGATTGATTTACATTGAAACCACGAAAAGATGTTCAAGTACCCGGCTCTCCAAACACAACACAAATGGTCGCTTGGGAGTAAGCCAAAAATGGTAGGTGTACATGAATTCAGAAAAAATGTAACTCAGAGCTATTATTCAAGACAATGAAGGAAGGGGTTGGAAATTCCATTGACAGAGAAAATTCAAACCGATCGAAAGAGAAAATCAATGTAAATGTAGTATGACTACTAGTACTCAATTGCACACGTATCAGGTCATTTTATAAACTAATAGAAACGAATTCACTCCCACCACCAATAGAATGGAACTGGAGGCTCAAATCTTGATAGATATATCATGAGTACTTCGTCCGTTGCCTCATTGCCTTTGATGATGTATACCGCAGTCGTAGACGAAACAACAGATATATAAACCTTGGGACCACGGCCAATGGATCCGACATAGTTACGTTTATCCATGTTAGTTTACATCATCATCATACTATCATCATACTATTACATATATGTTGAGCTATGAAATCAGTAATGGATGACGGAGAATGGAAGTGGTTCATTGATTTAATCAATCACCAGATCCTCGATCTAGTAATAAAGCTACTCAATTAAGTAACTACGGACAATGAATCCGATAAGTTGACATAGTTACGTTTATCCGTGTAAGTTTATATTTTTTGAGTTTCGTATCATACTATTATATACTTTGAGCTACGAAATTAGTAATGGATGATGGAGAATGAAAGTGGTTCGTTGATTCAATCGATGACCAGATCCTCGATCTGGTAATAAAAGTACTAAGTTGAGGTAAAAAAATCAATCCGCCCCACCAAAATAATAGTGATTTACCAAAGGAACAACTCAAAGCCGACACACAATACATTCTTTCACATAATCAGAATGTAGAAAATTACAAAACTCAACCGGGTAGTTTTTCTAGAAGTAATCTTATATTGTGTTTGTTTTTTCAAAATCTATTTTACCAAATTTGTTTATGTATCTGATAGGTTTTGTCATTAGCACCTGGTACATAAAAGATATTTGAGTTTGAAGACCAGTCTTACTGATGATAATACTTTCATTTATTGTAAAATGTTCATATCTAGTTCAAATTGGAAGGGTATATTTTCAGGAGAGATCAATTTTTGGGAAAGAAAGGTTTTGTCTCTCTACTTCCCCATTTTGATACAAAAAGTTTGTGAATTTTTCGTGTAACAATGTTTATATGGAAATAGCTATTTCGAGAGGTTTTTTCCAGTTTGTGTCTGAAAGTCACTTCTTTGCATGATCTACACATCTTTACATATAGTTAATTTTTTGAAATTGATTGCTTCTTTCCTTTTACATTTTTTGTATCAATTTGGAGAAGTAGAAAGCCAAAACCTTTCTTTCACAATTTATATTATCAAAATAACTAATACTATAACAGTTGAGCACCCATGATTATAATTCGATTGTAAATCGAAACGTCGGGTTGAATCAAAATAGTTTTAACTGATTTCTGACCCTCTCTCTACTCAATAGTATTATCATTATAGTTATGCAACAAGAACAAATGATATGTAGGGTAGGTATATGGTAGGTATAATATGTAGGTATACAGTAGGGCGATGGATAGAAAAAAGATACATTTAAGTTCTTCAAAGATCTTGACTGAATTCAACAAAGTATAGCCCATGTTGATCGGTAATTATGTAGCGGACAAATCTTTATTCTTTTATGATAATTTATAATAGTTTTGATGTGATTCATAATTGATAATTTATTTAAATTTATAATTATTTCATCTACACATACAGTTAATTTTTTGGAATTGATTGATAACTTCCTTTCTTTGGCAGATTCCCACAATTTTTGTATCAAGATGGAGAAGTAAAAAGCCAAAACTTTTTTTCCCAATTAATATCTACAAACTAACTACTATGTAACAGTTCAGCACCTATGATTATGGTTCAATTATAATCCAAAACGTCGGGTTGAATTAAGACAGTTTTGACTGATCTCTGCTCTATATCATTGTTATAATTATGCAATGAAAACAAACAATAATAATAACGAATTTGAGACGAAAAATGTGGTTGGGTGATGGATAGAAAAAAGGTACATTTTAATTTTTTTCAACGATCTGAATTCAACAAAGCACAGCCCATATTAATCGGTAATAATGTAGCGGACAAATATTTCTTCTTTTATAGTAATAGTTGAGATGAACGTGACTTAAAATCTTTCTAGTGCTGATATTTCGCCTTTTTCGTCGTTATTTAATTAGGATTGTTTATGCCTGAATCGAATCTAAATCCCCAACTAACATCTTTCTCCTGATACAGATCGGACTGTTTATCACAATGAATCCCGGCTATGCTGGAAGGACGGAACTGCCGGAAAATTTAAAGGCTCTTTTCAGACCTTGCGCGATGGTTGTTCCGGATTTCGCCCTGATATGTGAAATTATGTTGGTGGCTGAAGGATTTCTCGAGGCGAGACTTCTGGCAAGAAAATTCATCACTTTGTACACTTTGTGTAAGGAATTGCTTAGCAAACAGGATCATTATGATTGGGGTTTAAGGGCCATCAAGTCGGTGTTGGTCGTTGCGGGGTCTTTGAAACGCTCCGACAGACTGCGGCCTGAAGATCAGGTGTTGATGAGGGCTTTGAGAGATTTCAATATACCCAAGATCGTGACTGATGATGTACCGGTGAGTATTGTTGAAAATATCACATGAATTGAAGCCAGTAAACTTTGAATTTCAAATTTCAAGTCAGAACAAAATAGTGAGTGAAACATAGTATGGTCTTCTCAGAAATTTTGCGGATCTGTCGTTAAAATATAAAACAAAAGGTTACACTTGAGGGAGTTTTCAACGAGTAATTCATATTATTGATATCAAAATTGATGAGAGTGGAAAATTGTATGGCCAAATAATATGTATTTTCATGATAAACGAAAACTTCAAAGGTAAAATAAAGGTCACATATCTGAATGTGAACATTTTGGTAGGAAGTTAAACATATGCTGACCTTCAGAATATGGTTCAAGGTCAAATCCAGCTGAACTATTAGAATCCATGTTGAAAACAAAACATCCAAGCCAGCCGTGAAAGCCTACATTCCTATATCCTTCCCTTTATTAATTTTTATTATTTATATTCGAGGAATTTCTAGGGGTTTTTTCACTTTCCTAATAATGTAGACTATATTGTAAAGTGCTGCTGTATCTGCCTTACATGCGCAAACCCGCGATTTTTTTTCATTCATATCAGAATACCGAATATAAAGAGACCTGTCGAATATTTTCGGATTTATTAGCCGTGGTATACAGTTGTTATACCTGACGTTTCGTCTGATACTGCGTCATACAAAATCATTTCGACTGTTACAGTGGTTGACAATAGTTTAAGGTATAAAATCTTGTAGACCATGAATAGTGAACCCGGAAACATCGGACAATCAATAGGCATGAGACAGTGTCAAATAATCGTCGATTTAATGGTTTTAGGGAAAAATTCATATCGAAAAAAATTTAAAGCATTCCTGTAGTTTTATTCAAATTATTCAGATCATTAAGATTCTCAGTAAAATAGAACATTGAAATACTACAATCGGCCACTTTGACTGAAACACCAGTCACAGTTCAGAAACGTGAAAACTCCCTTGTAAGTAAATTTTGTATTCATGTTCACACTAGGTACAACTAATATGGATATAATCAAACTTGTTTTGAACTCATATGAGTTCATTTTACTTTCATAAGTTGTTTTTACAGTAAACTTGTCATTGTTTATTTTTGAGGTTAACTCTCTAACAGCTTGTAAGTTGATGTTTTAGAGTTGATACTATGTTAACACCCGATAAAAGTAAACGAATAAAATTGATAATAAGACTGATAGCCAAGACCAAAACAAACATAACCTCAATAAATTAGTTATTCGATGGCCTCAATATTTCATCTATTTCATGTCAAACAAACATTTCAAGTTAAGACTTTATTCAGAGGAATCGGGCAAATTTTGGATATGCAGTTGGTTAGTACCTCGTACACTAGATGGAGTGACATTTTGTTGTTCGCTTCAACATAGGAAGAGGAATGAAATACTCTGAAAAAATTCCGATTTTCATTTTCAATAACATCCGTTTTGACAGCGGAACAGTGCTGAAGTGTCTGAGCGTTCGGGTGTGTTTTCGTCAGATTTCTGGTTGATGATCAGCCGTATTGTGGTGTTTCTGGCTTGTGATAGTGGTTCGTTGTGTTCTTTTGTGCAAACGAAAAAAACGTTTCTGGTGAGTACGCTTGATTATATCATTTTTCATTGCGTTCATTTGCTCAAAGCTTTGCTGTCACTTTTACGTGAGTAGAATGTCAAGCAGTATGAAGGAACTACTTCGCAATCTGGCTGGGAAGGACAAGTCTAACTGTACTTACATATTTTGATGCGTAAATTACGAATCCGAAAGGAAAAAGAGGCGCTATCCCTTATTTAAAAAGTTACGGTCCTTCAAAGTTCAGAAAAGGGCAACTTTTCAGCCTTCTTCTTCACCAAATAAACTATTTAAAAACACAAGCATTTATTCACTACGTCACTTTTACACCTTATTCCTTCTTCTGTAACACTTTTCACTTCAATAATCAACATTTTTCTTATAAAAATGTTAAAAAATGTACGGAGCTGCTTTTTGGTTACATATCACTGTATTTTACGTTTTTAAGGTTAATGATATGGTTGGTACGACTGATGCAGTCCATATTCCTGAAGTAATTCAAATGTTTTNGAAAGTAAGAATCCACATTCAGACTATCAATCTTTCTTTAATGAAGTGAGGCATAAAGTTGTGACTTTGATTGATCGAATGGTGCAAGTTCATAACACCTTGAAAGTGAACATGGAGTTGTTTGGGAGGTACATACTTCAGACGCAGGAAATATTAGAGGTGAAGTCTTTCAACAGCCAAAACCAAATTGTTGATCAATCAAACAACCTTGAAGAGGTTTATAGGACATTCGTCGACACGTTGTCTGCAAAAGCTGTGGAATTTCAAGAACGCGACTCAGGTATATTATCTACATAAATATGAAAGATTTCAGTCATTAAACGAATAATGTGTTTACAGGTTGGACTCTGGAGAAAGTTGTTTTTATCGAAGTAAACATCAACAAATATAGTCCTCTCAGTGGATCCTCCTACATCAAGCTTCCAGAATTCATCGCTTTGAAGAGGGCAGTAGTTAATGTGAGAAATGAAGACCATTTTTGCTTCGCTTGGGCGGTGACATCAGCTCTGCGACCAGCGCAAACTAGAACTTCTGAAGTAGGCTCATATCCAGACTTCAGAGATGTACTTAATGTTGAAGGTATAGATTTTCCCATGAAATTACGTGATATTCCACAATTTGAGAATATGAATGATTGTTCAGTCAATGTTTATGGGTTAGAAACAACTTTTGAAAACAACAAACCGAAATATGAAATTGTGGGTCCTCTTTATTACGCACGGCGGAAACTCGGTCGCCATGTAAATTTATTGAACATCACCGATGAATCTAGTAATAGCCACTATTGCTGGATAAAGGATCTATCAAGGTTAGTTTCATCACAAATTTCATCCCACGGGCATAGAATGTATTTTTGTGATGGTTGTTTGATGTATTTTTCAGACGAACGCAAATTATTACGACATCAGTTGAATGATTGCAATTTTATTTGTACCACCATTCCCACAACGCAAATCAAAATTGATAAATGTGGTAGGGCCATACCGGAAAATATATTAAAATTTGAAAATTTTGAAAGGCAGTTGAAAGTCCCCTTCGTGGTATACGCTGATTTTGAATCAATTCTGAAGCCTATACATACAAATGAACCGGATCCAATACGTTCCTTCACAAATAAATCATTTATTCACGAGCCATACTCATTCTCATACCGAATTCGTTGTTCTTTCGATGATTCAGCCTCCAAATTTGTTCTTTATCGTGGGGAGGACGCTGCCAAAGTATTTGTAGCCAGGCTGGAGTCTGACCTGAGGGCCATCTACTATACATATTTGAATCGTATCGTGCCAATGAAGCCATTAACAGTATCAGAGGAGAATGAATTTTCAACTGCTAATAGTTGCGGTATTTGTGAGAAACCCTTCGAATTGGGTGGCGTCAAAGTGAGAGATCATTGTCACTTGACGGGAAGGAAAAGATATGGAGCTGCACATTCCCCATGTAATTTTAATTACAAGTTACCGAATTTTGTTTCAATAATTTTCCATAATTTGAGCGGCTATGACTGCCACTTGTTCATAAAAGAGTTATGCACTGATAAGAACAAGGTGGAGGATATCGGTCAAACAAAGGAAAATTACATTTCTTTCACTAAGCATCTATTGATGGGTACCACAATAGATAAATTTGGTAAATTGAAAAAACAATTCCTAAAGCTGAGATTTATCGATAGCTTTAGATTCATGGCGTCATCACTGCAGCAGTTAGAGGAGAGCTTGTCAGATGAGCAATGTTATGAAACACGGAAGTATTTTCCGGAAAATGAAAAATTTAGATTTTACTGAGCCACCATTAAAATCCGATTTTTATGATCAATTGAACGAGAAACATATATCTGACGATGATTATGAGAGGCCAAAACGTGTATGGTCCTTGTTCGAGTGTGGAACGTTAGGGGACTATTCAGATCTGTATTCGAAATCAGATATATTGATTTTATGCGATATTTTCGAAAATTTCCGTAATATATGTTTGGATAGATATGAATTAGATTCAGCCCACAATTTTACCTCTCCAGGCCATTCTTGGGATGCCATGCTCAAATACACCGGTGTAGAGCTGGAATTGTTTACGGATATTGACATGATAACTTTTTTCCAAAAGGGCATTCGTGGGGGTATTAGTCAGTGTTCTGAAAGAAAGCATATTGCTAATAATCGTTTTCTGCCAGATTATGATGAGAATGGAGCATTATCGTTCATCACTTATTTGGACGCTACGAGCCTATATGATCACAGTATGTCCCAACCATTACCGACAGGTGGGTTTTCAAGGCTATCCGAACAAGAAATTTTTCAACTAGATATCACTAGATATCATACATTGTTCATTATAAGGCTTTGAGGCAGGCAATTGAAAATGGATTGATAGTGATGAGGACTCACAGAGTTCTCTCATTCAATCAATCACCATGGTTGAAGAAATATGTAGACCTGAATACCCTAATGAGAAATCAAGCTACAAATGTTTATCATAAAAATATTTTCAAGACAAGAACAAATGCTGTCTGTAGAAAAACAATGGAGAACGTTGATAATAGAAATGATATTTGGCTTGCGACTCATTGGGAGTCTATATAGCGTGTCACTGGTGCGAATGCTCTCATCGCTCGACCAAATTTCAAAACACTTCAAATTTTTCCAGAGGACTTTGTCGCCATTCATATGTGTAAAGTGAAAATAAATTACAATAAACCCCTATATCTTGGATTCAGTATTCTTGATTCATCTGAAACAGTCATGTATGAGTTTTTTTATAAATTCATAAAAAACATTATGGGTCAAATGCTTTTCTCCTCTACATCGAT